TTGGCACTAACTGTATTTCAATACCCAATTGTCTTCATAGGCAAATTAATTTTTAAATAGATTTTTAAAGGAATTTTATTTAATTTGACCCCCTCATCCCCTTCCTAAGTAATTTTGTTAATTTTTATAGGTTGTATATTATATTTTCTAACAATTTGGCACTAACTGTATTTCAATACCCAATTATCTTCATAGGCAAATTAATTTTTAAATAGATTTTTAATGGAATTTTATTTAATTTGACCCCCTCATCCCCTTCCTAAGTGATTTTGGTAATTTTTTTAGGTTGTATTTTATAGTTTCCAATAATTTGGCACTAACTTTATTTCAATACCCAATTGTCTTCATAGGCAAATTAATTTTTAAATAGATTTTTAATGGAATTTTATTTAATTTGACCCCCTCATCCCCTTTCTAAGTAATTTTGGTAATTTTTTTAGGTTGTATTTTATAGTTTCTAATAATTTGGCACCAACTTTATTTCAATACCCAATTGTCTTCATAGGCAAATTAATTTTTAAATAGATTTTTAATGGAATTTTATTTAATTTGACCCCCTCATCCCCTTCCTAAGTGATTTTGGTAATTTTTTTAGGTTGTATTTTATAGTTTCTAATAATTTGGCACTAACTGTATTTCAATACCCAATTACCTTCATAGGAAAATTAATTTTTAAATAGATTTTTAATGGAATTTTATTTAATTTGACCCCCTCATCCCCTTCCTAAGTGATTTTGGTAATTTTTTTAGGTTGTATTTTATAGTTTCTAATAATTTGGCACTAACTGTATTTCAATACCCAATTGTCTTCATAGGCAAATTAATTTTTAAATATATTTTTAATGGAATTTTATTTAATTTGACCCCCTCATCCCCTTCCTAAGTAATTTTGTTAATTTTTATAGGTTTTATATTATAGTTTCTAACAATTTGGCACTAACTGTATTTCAATACCCAATTGTCTTCATAGGCAAATTAATTTTTAAATAGATTTTTAATGGAATTTTATTTAATTTGACCCCCTCATCCACTTCCTAAGTGATTTTGGTATTTTTTTTAGGTTGTATTTTATAGTTTCTAATAATTTGGCACTAACTGTATTTCAATACCCAATTATCTTCATAGGAAAATTAATTTTTAAATAGATTTTTAATGGAATTTTATTTAATTTGACCCCCTCATCCCCTTCCTAAGTGATTTTGGTAATTTTTTTAGGTTGTATTTTATAGTTTCTAATAATTTGGCACTAACTGTATTTCAATACCCAATTGTCTTCATAGAAAAATTAATTTTTAAATAGATTTTTAATAGAATTTTATTTAATTTGACCCCCTCATCCCCTTCCTAAGTGATTTTGGTAATTTTTTTAGGTTGTATTTTATAGTTTCTAATAATTTGGCACTAACTTTATTTCAATACCCAATTGTCTTCATAGGCAAATTAATTTTTAAATAGATTTTTAATGGAATTTTATTTAATTTGGCCCCCTCATCCCCTTTCTAAGTGATTTTGGTAATTTTTTTAGGTTGTATTTTATAGTTTCTAATAATTTGGCACTAACTGTATTTCAATACCCAATTGTCTTCATAGGAAAATTAATTTTTAAATAGATTTTTAATGGAATTTTATTTAATTTGACCCCCTCATCCCCTTCCTAAGTAATTTTGTTAATTTTTATAGGTTTTATATTATAGTTTCTAACAATTTGGCACTAACTGTATTTCAATACCCAATTGTCTTCATAGGCAAATTAATTTTTAAATAGATTTTTAATGGAATTTTATTTAATTTGACCCCCTCATCCCCTTCCTAAGTGATTTTGGTATTTTTTTTAGGTTGTATTTTATAGTTTCTAATAATTTGGCACTAACTGTATTTCAATACCCAATTATCTTCATAGGAAAATTAATTTTTAAATAGATTTTTAATGGAATTTTATTTAATTTGACCCCCTCATCCCCTTCCTAAGTGATTTTGGTAATTTTTTTAGGTTGTATTTTATAGTTTCTAATAATTTGGCACTAACTGTATTTCAATACCCAATTGTCTTCATAGAAAAATTAATTTTTAAATAGATTTTTAATAGAATTTTATTTAATTTGACCCCCTCATCCCCTTCCTAAGTGATTTTGGTAATTTTTTTAGGTTGTATTTTATAGTTTCTAATAATTTGGCACTAACTTTATTTCAATACCCAATTGTCTTCATAGGCAAATTAATTTTTAAATAGATTTTTAATGGAATTTTATTTAATTTGACCCCCTCATCCCCTTTCTAAGTGATTTTGGTAATTTTTTTAGGTTGTATTTTATAGTTTCTAATAATTTGGCACTAACTGTATTTCAATACCCAATTGTCTTCATAGGAAAATTAATTTTTAAATAGATTTTTAATGGTATTTTATTTAATTTGACCCCCTCATCCCCTTCCTAAGTAATTTTGTTAATTTTTATAGGTTGTATATTATAGTTTCTAACAATTTGGCACTAACTGTATTTCAATACCCAATTGTCTTCATAGGCAAATTAATTTTTAAATAGATTTTTAATGGAATTTTATTTAATTTGACCCCCTCATCCCCTTCCTAAGTGATTTTGGTATTTTTTTTAGGTTGTATTTTATAGTTTCTAATAATTTGGCACTAACTGTATTTCAATACCCAATTATCTTCATAGGAAAATTAATTTTTAAATAGATTTTTAATGGAATTTTATTTAATTTGACCCCCTCATCCCCTTCCTAAGTGATTTTGGTAATTTTTTTAGGTTGTATTTTATAGTTTCTAATAATTTGGCACTAACTGTATTTCAATACCCAATTGTCTTCATAGACAAATTAATTTTTAAATAGATTTTTAATAGAATTTTATTTAATTTGACCCCCTCATCCCCTTCCTAAGTGATTTTGGTAATTTTTTTAGGTTGTATTTTATAGTTTCTAATAATTTGGCACTAACTTTATTTCAATACCCAATTGTCTTCATAGGCAAATTAATTTTTAAATAGATTTTTAATGGAATTTTATTTAATTTGACCCCCTCATCCCCTTTCTAAGTGATTTTGGTAATTTTTTTAGGTTGTATTTTATAGTTTCTAATAATTTGGCACTAACTGTATTTCAATACCCAATTGTCTTCATAGGAAAATTAATTTTTAAATAGATTTTTAATGGTATTTTATTTAATTTGACCCCCTCATCCCCTTCCTAAGTAATTTTGTTAATTTTTATAGGTTGTATATTATAGTTTCTAACAATTTGGCACTAACTTTATTTCAATACCCAATTGTCTTCATAGACAAATTAATTTTTAAATAGATTTTTAATGGAATTTTATTTAATTTGACCCCCTCATCCCCTTCCTAAGTGATTTTGGTAATTTTTTTAGGTTGTATTTTATAGTTTCTAATAATTTGGCACCAACTTTATTTCAATACCCAATTGTCTTCATAGGCAAATTAATTTTTAAATATATTTTTAATGGAATTTTATTTAATTTGACCCCCTCATCCCCTTCCTAAGTGATTTTTATAATTTTTTTAGGTTGTGTTTTATAGTTTTTAACAATTTGACACTATTTTTATTTTAATATTCTGTTATCTTTATAGAAAAATTGATTTTTTAATGAATTTTTTTATTGGATTTTTATTTCAGTTTACCCCTTAATCCTTTCTCTAAACACTTTTTATTTGTTTCTTAAAAATTTAGTAGTAATTTTATTTCAATACACCGTTAACTTCACAGAAAAATACATTTCGACGCCACTGGTAACTCGGGTGTTTCCGGTAAACGGGCTGCTGGAAAGTGGCTGCTAACTTCACACCGGTTATTTTGCAAAGATCTTGTTTGAATCTCTTGTTTTGTCGGTTAGTTCTGAAGGTTACATGATATTGCCATGGAACTCCTGAAACTTTAATGAACCTCTTGTATACTGTTGCGAACTATGCAGATTCAGCGTTTATCAATCTACGTAATACTGTCATGTACCTATACCTCAAGTAGTCGATGAAGGGACTCATTACATGACGTGATAAATTACGGTCGTTTTATCTTAGTAGCTTGCTCCTTTATATTATGTATACAGAGTTCAAGTAAAACAAGTAATTATACTAACATTAACAGTTGATAATGTCACATATTTGATTTGCTGAGTTTTACAGTTGAAAAATAATACAAAATATTTAAAAAAAAAATTCACAGATTTCGCAATCTTTGCATGGATCGCGGACACCAGAAATGATAATAGCTCCTTTTTCATATTTTTGTTACCAATATTTCTAAATATTTTTTTTATGAATAATTTGAAAATTCTAAATAAAATTTCAAAAATCTCCACACGAATTATTAAGACCATCCTCAAACCCTAACGTTGAAAATAAATACTTGAAGATTTGAAAAATACCCTGTCGCCTTTTGTATCTGCATCTGTAACGTATGGAGGGTGGGTTAACCGACGGCAATTAAGCCTCATCACGCCCATGGTGCATTATCCTAAGTAGATAGGTACCTCTTAGTTCGTATACCAGCTTACAGATTTAATGTAGTTGACAACGTCGCTAAGAGGTGCTTTTCTTATATCGGCCGGTGTTAAACAATTCTCGCCGAATATTAAAAATATCACCCATAAATAAATCAATTTGATAACTGCAAAACAGATTTTTTCTCAGCGCAGCAACTTAACAAAATAAACCCTTTCTATTAAAATTATCTGTAACTTTCAAACAATTCACTTTATACCTCAACTATACATTTTTAAAATCGAATATTAGAGTAAAATATAAAAATGCATTAAAAAAACATAAAAAGCATTGAGAACAAAACACAAAGTTACAGTTAGTATGCATGAGCAGATAGCCGTCCCACTTTATATGATTTTTGACTTATTTCGTAATTTTTAAAATAATTTCATAAAATAATGATGTTTATTGAAATTCCCTGTGTATTGATTATCATTTTATATTTATAAAACTAACCATTTAAATTAAATATTTCTTTTTTTTAAGCAATTGATAAACTTTATGTTAGGATCAATAATAGACCACGCTGTAGCTTTAACATGCTATTTGACTGCTCTGAAGTTAGACGTTTGGCTGCTGTTGGGTTATGGGATACCGCATGGTAACACTGCATACGTTTTACTACCGGAATATACTGGAGAAACTCCATTCCCTACGTATTACATAATTGACATCGTATTTAATGAAAAATATAGTGTCATGGACGAAAATTGTCCTTTGCAGAAGATATTTTGCGTCATTAACTCTAAAAATGTATGTACCTATTGTCAAATATTTTTGACCTATAAAATTAAAATAATGATTGATGTAGTATACATTTAAATACTGTTAATATTAAATTTTATTTTACTTTTTTAAGGTATGGGCCAACATTCAAAAAACCGATAACGTAACCTTTACACGATACGATTTCAGCAGAAGCGCTGATTGGTTACCACTTTTTGACCACAATTTTCCTGCCCCTACGAATTTTGTTGGAAATAAAGTTACGTACAGATTGAAAGAAGATACGGAATTGCTTGAAATGAATTTAGAAAAACACCTGAAGAGACAAATATCAAAATTGAGGCTTCTGGATAGAACGATCTGGAATAGTGGGGTATCTAGCGTTTTGGTGAATGTTCTTAAGACATTTGAATTGAACTGTATGTATAATAGAAGCCATCATGAGACTGTAACTGAGTTAAGCCATGATATTTCACAATATATAGTAAGTTTTTTAATAAAAATACCAATAGTATTATAGGTTCTTACGCTGTCATTGTGAATAGTATTTTGTGGGCAGTATTTCAAGAAATTTATAAAATCGAATCTTATTTAGTGCTCTCTTTAGTGCAAATATAATTCAGCGTCTTATTTTTATTTTACTGGATGCGTTTGTAGAACTGTATATCTCGTGATTATTCATAGAACACACGCTACTATGAGAAATTTTTGTGCATTACCTACAGTATCTCCAGTTTACTGACTAGGTAGTTGAAAATTGTAATATGTTACTAACTTAGTGTTAAGGCTCCTATGTTATCCAACTTTGGACAGAGACTAGAGTAAATTTATTTGACTACAACACACAAAATACATATTTTTGTATTAAGTCCTATTACAAAAAATCTTTCATATAAGTTTATTTAGTACAAATTTTTCAATTTCAGACTTTATATCATTTTAACTATCATTTACCAATTTTATCTGCACACATCATCTTGCTTTGTAACGTTCTCTAGTGTTGAATTTTAAAAGAATTTCTAATCAAGTTTCTGTTGCTATATGTGTGCAACAAAATATTAGTTGCTACAATTTTGTTTACTACAAACCATTATACGATTGTGTACCTTTCGGAATAATATGTATTAACTTTTTTAGATATCTGGATTTGCAATAAACACACATTTTACAAGTTTCTCGAACCTGGTAAAAAAAATCAAACGGCTTGGCATACACATACAGAAAGAGAAGGACGCAGAATTTTCTCTAGCAGTTTACATTCACTCCTACCCTGGACGATTGTTTTCAGTGTGGATATTTTTAGTTAACATTCGAAACGGCGATTAAAGTTAAATTATTACTGTTTTCATTGTTTTGAAATGTGTTTCTGTTTGATTGTAAGAAATAAAATAAATTAGAATTGGTGTTTAAAGTTGTTTTATTTCAAGCATTTAAACTGACAATAGAAAGTCTAAATAAATTTTGTTTATTGAAAGAGAAATAAGAACTAACTTATTATTGTTTCTCCACTACTTTTTAAGTGTATCCATTCAAGCAAAATATTTTAAAGCCAAATAATTGAATCGAAATTAAGATGTTTGCCCTAGGGCAATGTAAACTAACATGCTTTTTTTCTTTTTTCGATGGCAATAAGGGCTCTTGCATTATTATAAAAACAAACTAGTTTTGTCACTTCAATTTTGGAAATTTGAAAATTTATAATCCTTAATTCCCCTAGAAAATTATTTACAATACACCCCATATTTCTAAAGTGAAAACAAACCAAAGAAATAATGAAAACTGAGAATTAAAGAAAAGAAAAAATAAATGCATTGACCAGGGATTAAACATGAAACCTTCCAGCAACAGCTATCTACTCCTCTGCCAGTTGATTCATCGGAGCATATTGCTGCAAAAATCGCACTCATAGATTTGAAGTCCGACTCTCTTCGGCGCACATAATTCTAATCCCATTTCAGCTCTCTAAATTCTCCTTAAAGCCCACCCTTGTAATATCGTATCGGACGATGACAATCTCCGATTACACTAAAATTAATTTCCAAGATCCTTCATTCGTTAATTATAGTTAAGTAATTGATTACATGCCTATGCCATTACAAGTTGAGTTTTCTGCTTTTATCATAAATCCTATTATCAGATATTGACTAAATGCATATGGGGCCACCACTGTGGTACCCCCTTTCTAACAAAAAAAGAGTCATAAAAATCGGACAACGTACTAAAGAATTATCGTCGAAAAAAATAAAGAGTTTGATGATTTTCTTATGAATGCCATCAATAGATTTTGACCAAATTTATATGGGACTATCCCTGATGTATCCTATAGTTCTAATAAAAAAGAATCATAGAAATCGGACAACGTAGTAACGAATTATCGGTGACCACACATTAAAAAAAGTCGGTTAAAAATCGGTGTAGATCCGATAAACTGAAATGTCATTTTGGAAATATGAAAATCAGTACCCTACTATACTATCTCCATTCTTTACGAAAATCGTGTTTTTAATGATACTTATATAACTTTTTACCGGGAATTATAAAAAAATACTTTTAAAGTCAAATCCAAACAGAGTTACGAAAAACCCAAAGGTAAACTGTTCACAAAGTCATTGTGTTTATATTTACCCTGTATAGAATTAAGTTTTCATGGTAACATTAGTTGTGATTATTCGAATTTGTAATTTTAAAATTAACGTTCCAAAAATCCAAACTATCAATCCATTCCATTTTTTGGTCCTTCGAGCCGAATACGAAAAAGCCAAATATACGTCGAGGGTTAAGCGAAACAAAGCGATACGAAGTTACAAAAAGGATCTGGGTCAAAAATCTTGGTCAAAAATCATACTGATTCGATTTTCAGTTAACTATAATTTCTTCTTTAAAAAAGTTTGACAATTTTCTTAAATCGATTGACCCAATTGTCAAAGATTCTGGTATTTTGGGTAAGGATGCAGAAGGTATAATAAAAGCAACGGAAACGCGACTTTATAGAATTGAGAATTTATTAGATATTTTGGATATTGTTGAAAAATTAAATGATGTATTAAAACGGGAACAAAAACGAATTTTTGATGAATTTGAAGATCAGTTCTATAAAGTCACATCTAAATTGAAACTATTCATTGCAACATTTAAAAAACAATTAACTTGCTTGTCTAATAAGAAAGATATAAATGACATCAGAAGGCCAGATATTTTACTTCCTACGATACCGTTACCTCAATTTGATGGGTCATATGAAAAATTGATTGAATGTACAATTAGAGATAAATTCAATGCACTTGTTCATAATAACATAAACCGTAATATACGAAAGTTTCATTATCTACGGGAGAGTCTAAAGGGAAAAGCAGCTCAGACAATTAAAGCGATTCAATTTGGGGAAAGGTATTATGAAACAGCGTGGTTCACACTTTGTGAAAAATTTAAAAATTGCGAAAAACTAATATCGAATCATATTAAAATCATTTTTGAATACGAAAATATTGCCAAACCTAACTTTTCTAAACTATCCGATCTTGCTGATACGGTAAACAATAATCTGAAATGTTTAAAACAGGAGAACCTACGGACTACTGGGATTCGTTAATTATTTATACAATCGTTAAGAAACTCGATGTAGAGTCTCTTAACGAATGGGAAAAGATATATACCAAATTTAACGAGACAAGCCGTTACAAAACATATAATAGGTCTTATAAAGTACAGAGCAGATTTTCTTGAAGAGATTGAAGCTGACATCCCAGATCAGCTAATGAATATAGTCAAACCCCACGACGGGTTGAAATATTCACATCTGTCAGGTTGAAGCCATATGCAAACATTAAAATCACAATCGCATAGTGCTGTCTTTGTAAAAGGAACCACTTAATATGTTTTTGTCCAGATTTCTTTATCGTTATCTGTGAAAGATAGAAAATTAAAAGTTAAACAACTTAATCTTTGTGAGAATTTCTTGCGCACTAATCATGTGACTAAAGACTGTAGATTTGGCGGGTGCAAAATTTGTCAAGAGAAGCATAATAGTGTTTTACACAGATCGTGAGAGGGGCGTTCGGTCCATGGAAGCGGGGGAAGCACCGCTTCCCTACCCAGCTAGCACAAAAACATCCCATCTATGTTAAAAGCTGCAATTTTAGGCTCTTTAAGCTCACATGCGATGTACTTTTAATGTAACCCTAATATCCCTGCAACCACCGAATGTACGCAACGCCAAGACTTTTACAGCACATCTCACAGAGGTTACAAAGTGAAGTTCGGAAAACATCACACTAGCACTTTTAAGGTACTTACCCTGAAAGTTGCTCTGAAACTTTCTATATATGTTATAATGTGAATTAGTTCTACAGCATTATACAGTTTGTCCACGGATGGACTTAACTATACTTGTGAAAAATTTATTTTAAATTAAAAAAGTAATTCTTCATAATTTCTTTTTCTTGTTAAATAAATTCGATTCACATTAATAAATTATGAAAAATAACTTTTTTTAATTTAAAATAAATATTTTTACACTATATTGTTCTTTGTGTAATGTAATACAGAGAGGCTTAAATTGAGGTATAGTAAAATCTCAATCGAGACATGGAAATTTCAAATAAAACAAAATATATAAATTTATTATAAAAATGTTCTTGAAATCCAGTAGAAATATCACAAAAGTAGAGGTAGGTGTATCACAAACGCAGTTACACAAGTGCTATAACAGAAGCCACCTATAAAGCACTGAACGATTGGACAAACTTAGCTTAATGGTATAATAAGGTATCAATATTGCAAAGGTTCACTAGAAGTTTAAACAGTGAACGATTGTACGAAAGTATATTTACATAAGGTACGTTTTAAGATGGCAATTGTATGATGGTATAACTAGATCGTTAAAAGATCTAAGCCACACACTTATTAATTTATTAATTGGAGAAAATGGGTAAATAAGTTTGTAACTCTTAGGTTAAAACAACTTTTGATTTAAACCTTAAGTTTATATTTACTAAATATGATAACATTTGGTACTAACGAAAACATGTCCTTCATTTAAAGACTGATTTAAAAACGACAAAGAGAGAGAGATATGCTTTATTGTCGTAAAAAAATTTACAAAAATTTTATAGACAAAGCGTGTAACTTAAATACTAAACATATTATAAAAATAACTAAACAGCAGAAAAAACAAACAAAAACAAACAGACAAAATAGGAATAACAATTGCAATGGATATGCAATATCCGTCATTATAATTATTCTAATTTAATTTTTAAATTTAAATTTAAATTTAAACTTTAATATTTAATTATTTAATTAATGCCATTGTATGTGGAACTCAAATGTCTAAGGTACGTTATAAAATTCTGCTACTGTGTAATATGGTCTTTCTAGAAGAAAAGCTTTAGCCAGTCTTCGGAACTTATCGTATGTATTTATAGATTTTAATTGCATCGGAAGGTTATTATACAATTTTTTGGCATTGTAGGTAATGGAATGTTTTAATAGGTCAGAAGTGGGCATTGTTAAATAAACATCAGTCTCTAAATTTCTTGTAGGATATCTACGAGTCGGTCTTTCGGATAAATTTTGAATGTGCTTGCGAACTAAGCAGACGGATTCGAAAATAAATAGAGCAGGAAGGGTTAGAATTTTGAAATTTTTGAAGTAATTTTCGCAATGTGTCCTACTACTTAAACCAAATACATAACGGATTGCTCTTTTTTGCAGTTTAAAAATAGATTCGAAAAGGTATAAGCTACAAGAACCCCAGAAAGGTAAACCATAGCGAAGGTGAGATTCGAATAAGGAAAAGTAGGTTATTAATGCAGTAGAAGGAGTCAGCTCTTTAGAAACCGATTTAATGGCAGAACATGCGGAGGATAATTTTTTTGCTAAGGTATCTATATGAGCAGACCATTTTAGAGAATCGTCTATATAAAGACCTAAAAACTTGATTGAAGTCACCGTTTGGATCAGATTATTGTTTAAAGTTATAGGTTGTAAAGTACCTCTGTAAGAAAGGTATGTTGCTTAAAAATACTTACCACTGAAAAAGATATATGTATCTTCACCTAGCTTCTTTCAGTTTGTGGGATTTTGAGGTTATAATTACATAATCACGTATCTCTCTTCACCACTGTATTTTTCAGAATTGTTTTATTTGTGATATAATTAACTCATTTTGCTTAAAAATGTAGCTTAGCTCTTTTCACCACCAATACGAAGATATGACAATTTAATAGAAGAGGATAAATTATATTTTTATGTAAAAAGATTTTACTTTTCCACAACATATTGAATAAAAAAGAGATTGACCTACTTTTTAACTATTAATAAAGGAAATGATATAGAAATTAAAAAATATGCTCAAGTTTAAAGCTGGATTAATAAACTACGTTCAGTTAGCGCTCAGTTCAAGTTGACAA